CACTAGGGAAGAACTACCTTCAAGAAAACCTGAATATTTCCTCCATCTTGAATCCTATAGAAAACATCATATTGATATTAATGTTGACCTGAGAAAAGACCTAGTATTTTGAGAAAGTCCTGAAAGTATTTCATTATGTAAATCATAAACAGATCATATTTAGTTTTTTTATTTTTTATCTTGTTACTGCGACATGCTCAGAACCTCCTGCAATAATTGAACTTTTCTTGTTCATCTTTTACATGTTTTTTTTCCATCATCTACAAAAGCTTTTAGTACTTAGTTGGCACTCAGCAGCCTGAGGTTTGAACTTGTTAACTCCTTCCAGATAATGAGCTTCTCAGAAAAGGTGAAAGCTTTAATGACAACATCATCTTCGCTGAATTCACAGCTCAGCTAAACAGACCTGCTGGCTCTTGTTGCCAGTGTCCTCGTCAAAAGGCCAGGTCAGTGCTGGTACAATGCTGTTTGCAGTAAACACCCAAAAAGTCAGAGAAAGGAAAAGAAAGTTCCAAAACAGAAGATGGGGAAAACATCAAGGCTTTTATACTGGCCAAACAGATCAGTGAACACAGGAATAACAGTTGTTTTAATAATTGCCAACTCCTTATTCCAGCAGTAATAAAAGACTCCATCTAAGAATGTTTAATGGAAATACAATGAAACTGTTCCAAATTTCAGGATTTGACCCTTAACCCTTTAACCTCTTTAGACAGTTTCCTTCATCTGCTAATGCAGTAAATGAAAAGTGTAAAGAAGCTGTGTGATTGGCTCGTGTCAACTTTGTCAGGTGTCGTGACAACCGACTGAACTGATCTGGGGTCTGAACCAATAGTCTGTTCTACTGAAAAGCAGCTGATAAATTTGCAGTCCTCCTCTCGACTTACTGCCGACGTCACCGTCAATCTGCTGCGACATATTGACCTTCCCTCACTTCAAACCACTTACAATACTTTTTTTACGATGAAGCCCAGCTGGACTTCAAACATAAGCTGCACTGTGAGAGCAAATATGGCTCTGTCCTCCTGATCAATATAACAGGTGGTCCATCAGCCAGCTTAACAGGATCAGATAAAAATGACCGACTTCACGCACACAAGCTTTTTAGCACCAGCTCTGTCTGCTGTCATATTCCCATAAAGTCAGCCCTAAATCTATTTAATCCAATGTGCTTCTATTACTTTTATGCAGCACGTGTCCAGATCAAGTCTTCAGCTTAAGACACTAAAGACAGTGAGACAGTATAAAACCGTCAGGGTTTTAGATGAATCCACCTGTAACCTAAGGACAGCAGGGTCTTTACTTTTCAGCAGAAAGAAAAATATGTTTGATGCATTTTTTTTTCACACGCGGTCTTTCACATTTTATTTTCAGATGATAAAATACAGTTGAGTAAATGAGAAGCTGATGTCATGCTTGTGTTTTTGCCTCTTTTTTATTTTATTGTAGCAGCATTCTTCCCATCCTGTCTGAGGACAACAATAGATTTTCTCACATCTGCTGTCTGACCAACAAACCCTAATTGTTTATACTTTATAGTCCAAATGTCACAGTTTGGTTATGACAACAGGCCAGAATGGTGAAAAAAAGTACCAGTGGCTTTGTCCACTGTCATCCCTCAAAATCTCCACAAACAACTGGTGGGAAAAATCATTCACACAGGCACAACTGTCTGAGGTGTACTGAGGAAAATCCATGAGCATTCTATCTGGATGAGGGACAGACAGAAGCAGATGAGACAAGATGCTTTCTTCAGCTCCCAAAACTCCCACGTACAAATTCAGACACACACAGATGCTAACATCAAAGCCTTAGGATGGGACTTGAGCCTGAACTAGCGTCAGATCAGTCGGAGCCTGCTGTGTTGGTGGAAAGCAAAGAGCTTTGATGCTACATCTTAATATATGCTAGGTCCCAGTCTGTGGTTTAGTGAATGGGTCCAAATAGCCTTGGTATGAGCCGCACCAGAGCACTTGGTTTGTTGTAAGCTCCAGTTGTTGTCTGGCATTACACGAGAGTGCCATAATACAATGCTTTTTCAGGGAGGCGTGTTATAAATAAAACCACAGAAAGCTTTTGTTGACAGCGGCTCCGGCAGCTTCAGCTCTCCCTCCGCTCCTCTTTTGGAAACATTTCTGACTGCAGACATCCTGCAACATGCATTTGGATTCAATACATTTTTGATTTTGTGCTGCTCAGGAAAATGTTTCATCAATAACCCAATGAAACTAAGTGCCTCCCTCTCAGAGTCAATTCCACATGTCGGAAGTGAATGAAGTTTCCAAGCAAAATGCACGAGAAATATTTGCACTTGGCTCTGGAATTTTTTTGAGAAAAGCTTGTAATGTTGCCATGAAGAAAGCAATTTGGAGAAAATATAGCTCTTGTGTCTGTCACAGATAGGGATGTGATGTCCTATAGTTGTTGTAGGGATTGCAATATTAAGATTAATTAAAGGAAAAAGAAAGACAAATGTTTCAATAACATTTAAAGATACATATTGAAAAAAAAAGAAAAAGAAGCAAAACTTTTTTGAAAAGCTAGTCAAAAATATAAAAAGGTGTTATTTAAAAACAAAAACACATAAGGAAACTAAAACCATGCCGTGTAAAACCAGCTAAAGAAAAGTATAAAAATACCTAAAAGGAAGTCACAAAATAAAAAATAAAAAAAAAAGTGCTCTGATTGTTTGGAAGAATTGTTTAACATCCTATGACAGTGTGTTATAAATGGTGATATACGGTAATCCAGTGTGTATGTTTGATCTTTACACACATTACACACAGATGACTGTTGCCCAGAGTGAACCCAGTCCTCTGTTATCAGCTTCTCTCACCTGTTCAACCTACTATAAAGCAGAAGATCCACCTATTTATGGCTGCTTTATGATAACCTGACGTTATAAAAGCCTGGGTTAAACTCACCATTAGGAGCCATTATCAAAAACCACATCAACAACACAAATCACTTATCCAGTGGGAGAAAAAAAATGTATAAGTGCAAATGAATTGTTTTGTTGCTGTGCACCACCGTTTGTTTGTTGACTGTGAAATCGAGGCGAAACATCAGTTCATTAAATCGCAAAGAATCATGAACAGTGCAGCGTCAACATGTAGCAGAATAAGCATCCGAGGACATACAGACATGTCATACAGGCCCGCTGATCCAACGCTTTTGTGTCTCTGTGGACCCATTGGAGACACAACAGGTGTGTCAATATGACAAGCACTCGACCAATCCACTACGTCTGGCTGATACGAACGGCGAATAAATATAGACGCTCTCCATTTTCACTCCCGGCACTGCACAGCTCCCACACAAAAGGGAACAAACATCCAAAGATCACGCAGAGTTCAAGCTAAATAGGACATGATTGTTCTCCAGCGAAGTCATTATCCATTTTAGTACAGCTTTCTAAAGAGTGTGTCGGTTTAAGAGCAAAACTTGATTTGTACAACTACTGTAGTTCAAACACATTTTAACTTATAACAATGATCAGAACGAGAGCCAATGCTACTGCAATAAATAATTATCTGCAACAGCTACAGGTGTATTTACTCACTAATACTGACTGTATTTTAATGTTTAATGTAAATGAATTAGGTTTTAATGACCACGATAGTAACTGCTAATGTAAAAAATAATATTTGCAAAATTGATGTGAAGAAAAGTAAAAACTTAATGACAATTGTATAAAAACTAAAGTCTGCATTTTGGGTGCTGTATTTATTAATCTTTTATTTTTGATTTGATTTAGGTTTATTTCGAAAATGAAAACCACAATAAAACAAATAGATCAGATATTTAAAAAAAACAAATGTAAATGCATATTTGAAAAGGAGTGAGGATTGAATATAACTTATAGACAATTTAGAGGTTTAGCTTCGGGGCTATCTATTGGCTACTGTTTTACAGCTTTGTCTAAGGCACAAATTATTGTCTTGTTGTCATGCTAACTATGAAAACATTATTGAAAAACTGTACAGCACTAAGTTCTGTGATGTAATAAGGAGCCACCCAGTGTGAAATAACACATCTCTCTGAGCGTTATACCTGGATTACTGTAGTTCTTTTCGACAAATCCACAACTAATGCCGAGCAGAATTCAGATTAACAGGTTGGAGAAAACTGGCTTGTCCCCGCCGTGAACAGACGACATGAAAACGCTGCATCAGTCTCCCAGTCTCCCACCAGATGGTCAATCAGAAAGACATGCAGGATCGAATAACAGATCGCCACCACCAATCACAATCACTGATCTATTTCTGCTTACTTTTCTTCCTTGATTTTTTATTTCTTTTGCCTGAAAATATACAGTATATAAAAATAATTTTCATTCTGTTTTTGAGTGCACATCCTACATAAACCATGAATTATCATCAATAAAATGTTATTTGTTATGTCAGCAGGTGACAGCAATATTTAAGGAGAAAAAGAATAGCAAAATTAAAGAGCATGAATATGATTGGCTACAACCTGTGATTGATATCGGGCCATTGGTGACATTCACCTGCATCACAATGGAAGCAACCATTTATGTGACGTTGCTGATGTTTACTATCAACAGGCTCTTATTTGACACAGTGTCATAATCCATTCATCAATTCTTTAATCCATCCACTCATGAAGGTACAACAGGTAATAAGGAATAATAAGGAATGTAATAAAAGAACTATTTGAATTACTCAACTGAGTTATTGGAATTGTGTAGGTTAATATTTTTAAATATATATTTTATAGTAAATGGTGGCTGAAAATGTGACTGTACATGCTTGGATGTTCATGATGAGGTGAATAATCTGGGTTTGGGGGGGCGGTGTTTTGTATTTACAGGATTCCAAACTTTACATTTTCATCAACTATCAACTAATATAGGTATAAACGGTCATTTCCTTAGTTTGTCTTGACCACCACAGTCATTTTCAGGCTGTCAGACAGAATCTTTTATCTCTCTCTCCATGAACGTGTGCTCTGCGTCCTTTCTGTTATGGCTGTCAAAGGCCATAGAATGGAGCTGTAATCAGACGATCTGGGTAGAAAGAAAGAAAAAAAACTGCTCTAATGTGAAGGGGGTGTGTGTGCGCGCGCGCGTGTGTGCGCATTTGCATACAGCTGAATGGCTTTCGCGTCCCGCACGTTACACCCGCATGAGGGCGATAGAGGGACACGCGTAGCAACAATAGGAGGCACGCTGCTGCCGAACCTTAAAACGCACGGGTGGCCATGAAACGGCACACGCCAACATCAAGATTAAACACACCCACAATAACCTACACATGGGAGTTGGAAATCTCTGCGTCTGCAAAACCGTGCGTAATTTCTCACTCCAGCAATGATTATTTGGATCCCTGATAACATATTCATTATTTTAGTATATCACATCTAATATTTCTGTGTGTATTTTTATAAAATAAAATCGATCACATATTCCTTGGTATTCAATTGATTTTATTTGTTTATAAAATAAAGGACATTAATAGAAAAGTTTATCTCATCAATTGTCAACAGTACTTGGAAATCACTCCAATCAGTTCTCCTTGTTTGTTATGTTGTAGTACAGAAAATTTCAAAGTAAAGGCTCTGCAAAAACCCCGTCCTCAACGCTCCTCAGCCGCATTGTCGGCCAATTAGATAAGCAATTGAGTGGAACCAGGGCAGAGGGGCGCATGGAGTGAGACGGTGATTGAAATCCTGCTTCCCTGAAGTTTCTGTGGCCCTTCATTGTCCTCACGTTCTGAGTCCATACAATGTGCGTTCATTCGTCGTATTGTGCGCTAAAAATAAGTCAACAGATGTTGCCTCTTGTTAATAGTCGCCCAGTGTCCATGGTGGTCAGTCAGCACCGTGCCACTGGGTATTAAATCTGGATAATTGTTGTTGGGTTGGAAGGGAAGGGGATTGACTGCGTGAAGTGGGCGGTGCCAACTCGGTGACTGGCAGTTTATGTAATGAGCAGCGCCGTGCAAGTCTATATATCTGGGAGGAGACTCACGACGGTTCATTCACTAGTAATAAGACGAGTGATGTACGTCCGTGGCGCACTGACGCACCGACTTCACCACCAAAACAAGCCCTGAGACGCGCACACACAGAGGAGTGCCCGTTGTGGAGTACAGCACCATGCAAGGAGAGGACGCCTGCTGACAGACAGACAGAGAGACAGACCGACAGACGCACGTCTGTGGATTTTAGTCTTCACTCACCTTTGGATAACTTGGGCGATTGGAAGCGCTTTCTCTTGGACGCTTTTGACGCACAGAAACCAGGAGCTACAGGAGAACTCCCCGGGAGTGAAGAAGGATTTATATTCTGCTTTAGATTTTTTTTTATTTTTTTTTATTTTGCGTTCCTCGGTGTGAATACTTTGGAATAGAGAGGTTCTGCTCTTCTTGGCTGGTGACGCGCTGCCCTGGAGAAGAGAGAAGGATGGCAGCTTGGTTCACCTTTACCATCGCATTCAGCACCACGTTAATAACACAGGTACGAAAAGGACCAGTCATCACCAAACCACGAAGATGGCAGATGGAAACATTTTTTTATTTTGAATATTATTACTTGTTTTATAGGTTTTTATATTTATATCATTCAACACATTACTTTAGCTTTTAAAAGATCTCCCTTTCTCTTTTAGGTGTTTGGCTCTGGCGTTTTTGAGCTCGATCTTCACGAATTTAAAAATCACAAAGGTTTGCTTTCAAACGGGAGCGCATGCAGACCCAGCTGCAGGACTTATTTTAGAATTTGCCTAAAGAACTATCAAGCTGTGGTCTCACCAGGTGACTGCGTCTTTGGAAGTACAATGACACCAGTGCTGGGGAGCAACTCATTCAGCGCCAAGGACAGTGGCACTTTACCCAGACCCATCCAGATACCCTTCAACTTTGGATGGCCGGTAAGAGACTTGGGCACGAGCGTCCACGTTTTAGTCAAATCCCAGCCATTGTTGTTGTTGTTGTTGTTGTTGTTGTTGATGTTGTTGTTGTTGTTGCTGTTTTCGGGGTACTGCTGTGCATTTGGGGGGCGCACCGTTTATTGGTCAGCTCATTTGATCAATCACCATTAATACTGAGTGGATAAACAGGTCGGACGATGTCGATCAATAAAAATCCAAAAGCCACACTCATTATGAAAGAACGCCTCTCCACTTAGCCTCTTGTGTAACTGAATTAAAAGAAAAAAATAATAATAAACGAGTCTTTTAAACATGACAAAAAAAAACATGCCAGCATTCCTCTAAACACATATTGCAAGTAAATCTAAATATATATATATATATTTTAAAATAAATAAATAAAATATATCATAATGTTTTAACCATCAACTGTTCTTTTTTCTTCAGGGGTCATTTTCATTAATAATTGAAGCCTTACATTCACCTTATGAAAATCTACCTGTAGGTAAGTACAACATTTTTACCACAGGAGGGAGCTCCATCTGCACATTTAACACATGAGGCTTTTGCGACTGCTCTCACAGCGTTTGTACATATGCACAAAAGAATTGAATAGAAAAATCGCCGAGTAACTCAAAATTTTAAAATATCATATTTAAATTCCCACTGGCTCTCTTTTTGTTTACTGCTTGTTTGCTACTTGACAGGTTTTGATTCTTATTCATTCTTTTATTATGAACTTCAGGACACCTTTTTCATTCTTATGTCCAATACAATTGAACTTCCTCTGGTTTATTTTTGGCGTGGGAAAGAGCTGTGGGCTCTGGTGAGAATACACAGCTCCTGCCAAAAACCCCTGACTACATCTTCCTGTATTTTACACCTTACTCTGTTCCGCCCTTTGGAAGACAGGACTGAGCCTGAGAATGTTTTGCTGACAGAAAGAAAGAGGAAATTTCAACTGGAGTTTATCTTTCATCTTAACTGTAGGGATGCAGCTTTATGCAGGGCAGATTATTAAAGTGGAAGTAGATGACGTTTGAACTCACAGCCATTAATGAAACCAGTCTCAACATGAAACCATAATGAGGTGACAAGGATAACAATCACTAATTCTGACCTCCGCCCCCTCCTTTGTCTCTCTCCTTTTCTCAGATACCAACAACCAAGACTTTTTGATTAGTTTTTTTGCCGTTCAGAGACAACTGGGTGTTGGGACTGAGTGGTCTCAGGATACACAGAGTGGAAAGCAAACAGAGTTGAAATATTCATACCGGTTCATCTGCAACGAGAGTTTTTATGGAGAAAGTTGTTTGATAAAATGCTCCCCAAGAGATGATCGTTTTGGCCACTACACCTGCACCAGGGATGGTCAGTTATCCTGTCTACCTGGCTGGAAGGGGAAATACTGTGAAGAACGTGAGAACTTTTTATTACTGTATTTATCACAACTTTTGCTTTCCTCATATGTTGCTGTTGGGAGTGTTCTGGTTTAAGTTTTGTTGCATGTGTTTACTGTGCTGCCATCATGCAAACGTTTTAATTTTTACTACCTGTGTGGGGTCATTATGATTCTAATTTCTTGACATTAACATTTATTCTTCATTGTGATTTGGGACTGAAAAGGAGAGAGAGCTGTGAGAATGTAATTAGAGATGAATAGTTATGAAGTTATCATCACTGAGGCCACAAGATCTGAGTCCGACAAGACGTTGGTGCCAAAGTATTTTAGGCGTTCTCTGTCATTTATAATCTGTAGTCATATAATTCTGATGTATAATTTCTTCTTGGTTAGTGAACACTCATTAAATATGGGGACAGACACAACAGACACTTTATACTAGTGCAAACCCTCCTGGCCTCACAAACCAGCAGTCCCATGGCTGGGACAGCACTGAACGGGCCGACGAGGGGGCCCGGTGCCATTTGGCTCCACAATAACCAAGGGCCCTTTTCCCCAAAACAAATTAATCAAAGAGTAGATTGGAAGGAGGCACCGTGGGAGTAATAGCTACCATGTGCTGAATATGAGACCACATGGGTGACAGCGGATCTGTCATCCATGTCACTTGGTGGTGAAAGAGAAATTGGCATGTGCTATTTCCACCATGGCGCCAAATTCTAACCAGATGGGCTCACGTGTTGCAATTACAGACACATCAATCGTCGGTGACTACAGAAAATATACATGAGAAAGATAGATTGGACATATCTTTCAGACACTATAATTTCCCCTGTCTCACACTCCCATACGTCGGCTAAAACAAGCCTTGTCATTTGGGCTTGGTTTACATTTTTTGAAAGGTTTAAGCACGGTACTGCAGTAACACACGTGTAATTTTAGACAGGCATAGTTGTTGTTATACAAATAAAGCTAATTAAACCAGAAACTAATAACTAATGAATACAAACACAGCTGCTATTTGCTCTTAGACCTTTTTTATTATTATTATTTATAAAACAAACAAAAAAAAAACACCCTAATTAGGTTATAGTATTTTTGAAGCTTTGGGGGTACCATTGCGCATGCCCGGTAACCTAATCCGAGTGGAGTGAGGAGCAGGAGCGGCTGCACGCGCCAGGGTTAATCGTGCCATTATTATCTGCCACGCGCCACCGAGCATTGTTGAGCGCGCGGGAGGAGCAGCTGCAAATATGGCCGTGACAGAGCACAAACAACAATAGTGACAGCTGTCTGCTATTGAGAGCAAGCATCTGTTCTGGGCTAAACCGGCCGCTCACCGTCAGCCGCCTGATATGCAGCCCTGATCGGTACACTTGCGGAGGGGTGGTTGGGGGGGGGGGGCAAACAGGTTCATGTTGACATGTAATTTGCCTACTGAAAAAAAAAGGTCTGAAGCTGTAGTTTCTTTAAAAATAATCATTTTATACAGGTTTTCAACAAGGAGCTTGTGACCCCTAGAGTGTCCACCAAGGCACTACTCAAGGGTCAGGATATTTTTTTGATTGATTAGACATATCTTTATGGTATTTATATATGTGTGTGTGTGTGTGTGTTGGCGTAAGTGTTTTTCTCCCCTGTCTAAACTGGATTGTAATTTACTATGAGGCAACAACAATCTTCTCTCTCTCTCTCTCTCTCTTTCTCTCTCTCGCTGATGAAAAAGAAGATGGTGTGGTGCAGGAAATCTGTATGGCTTTAGTCTGTCTTTCTCCAAAACCCCACTCATGAACTGTAAAAAAAAAAAAAAAAAAAAATAAGTTCATGGCCTTTATTAAGTATTTGATTCGCACATTGTATTACATTTCAAATAGTTGGTTATTGTTTGCGGAAGGAAATTGAACTGAGGACAAAATACTTGCCAGACTTAATAACTGAACGCTAATCGCCTACACACGAGACAAAAATGCATCATTAAATTGAAACAATTAATTCAAGCTCTTCACACACGCAGCGTATGGCTTTAGGTTAAGGTATTTTTTTCTTTTTACCCAGCACTTACGTGTGTTTGTCTTTTTTTTTTTTTTGGCTCCAGCGATCTGTCTGGAGGGCTGCAGTGAGGGGAATGGAAACTGCTCCAGACCTGGGGAGTGTGTGTAAGTATAAATAATTATACAATATCGAGGGAGATGTTGAGCTGCAGAAAACACACGTGGGGGCAATATGAGTTGCATTCGCGTGGAAATCAGTCATTTGTTTCTATGAACTGTAATTCAAAGTGTTGCTACATTGTGTGTTTATATGCAGCACAGATATACAGTTTATAATCAAAGCAGGGTATTTATTTCATTGTTTGCAAATTCACAGCAGATTTCCTTTATTCACGTCTTTCATCACAAGAGGCCAAACGGAACTAAATTAACCAAACATTAGCCTGAGCTTGTTGTTGTCTTTCTGCATCCCTGCTATCCTTCCCATGTTCCCTCGCTGCCTCTCCTGTCACTAGCCTGTCACATTCCCTCTCTCTCTCACTCAACAACAAAGATCATTTATTTCATACACGCATACTTGCCCACATGCTATGGGAAAGTCATCCTGAATCCTGCTTTGCCCTTGTTTTAGACATAAATCCACCATTCCCACCGATAAAAGTGACTCAATTTGGGTCACTTTTAGTGGTGGGAATGGTGGATTTATGGTGGTTAGAGCCTGTAGATACACAAAAGTCTCATGTCACTGCTCACTCAGCAGAAAGTGCTGGAGACTCAAAAGTACATCCCGGGTCCCACAATCTCACGATTGGACAAGGTTGTGGTGGGGATTGAAAAGAAAATCCATGTGAAACATAAAGCACTTTGATTTTGGGGGCTGTTGCCAAAAAGTATTTCACACTTGTATTATCTTGTTATTGTTTCTCTTAGCCTCAGTGGTTGTTTGTCCTCCAACACTGACCTCTGTTTTTGCTGTTGTTTCTGAAGTGGCTCTATTTTTCTTTCCCCTGTAGATAGTAGAAACAGTGACATCATTATTAAACTTATTTTTCCCCAAACATCGATGTTTGTTATTAACTTTGTTCAGCAGTGTAACAAGGTGGTGGAAAAACAATATCACTGATAGCTTACTCTTTAAAAAACCTGTTTAAAGTATCAATTCCATTAGTAACTCAACAGTAACCAAGGCACTAGACCAGGGGTCTCAAACTCAATTTACCTGGGGGCCGCTGGAGGCAGAGTCTGGGTGAGGGTGGGCCGCATAAGGGATTCCACAATAAAGTTTAAAAAAAAGTCCTCAAATGTTAAACATTAACAGTTTTAATGATTTCTTCTGAACATGAAGTGTTTTGAACATGAATGGAACATTGAGTGAAAATCATGAACGGTTCTTCTGAACATGGCTCATCTTGCCTACTCCTTGCTGCCAGAGACTTGACAGCGCTTCTTTTCACAAATCTGAACCACATTTGGCTTGAGAGAGGAAGCAGTTGAGAACCTCAGTATGGCTTGAAGATGATCATTAGTAAGTCTGGACCTGTACTTGGTCTTATTGAAGTTCAGCTCAGGGGAG